CTACCATTCCGCTTTGCGACCGTCACTTTTCATGGCTGGAAGGACGGCACGGGTCTAATCCTGACAAGCAGCAGTCATCAAATACTCTCTCGCGCAGTTGGCTTGCTCTGGCTTCTCAGCTATGTGACGGTGCCACGAGTGCCTGGTGCTTGCTACTTTACCACCTAACCTTGTACCTCGTGCAAGCTGGTGGGAAAGGATCCCCATTCGGTGCCGCGCAGCCGTTCGTGACCAGTCTTACCCTCCAGCTGAGTCTGACAAGGCGGATGATGTTCAGGGACGATGCTTGAGTATCCGTCGTACCCTTCAAGTGTTGTATCGCCGTGATGAAGAGACGTTTGTATAGATGACGACAACGATGGGACCAATATTCCAGAATACAATACAGAGAAGTCTATATCCGCTGCTGGCTGCGGCGGCGGTCGCTTAATTCATGATTCCGAGCCTTGTCCTCGACAGGTATCGCGTGTCTACAATTCAAGAGATGCGAGGGGTGTGTGTGTGTGTGTGTGTGTGTGTGGAATGCAGAGGCCGTTGGTGTTGGCACACAGTGTTAGCTTAATCCGGGGTTCATCTCACCATCGAGAAGCCACCTCTTCTCTAGACATACACACTGTGAAGCTTGACCGCTTTCCCATCAGACCACCAGCCCAAGACTGCGGGATTACTGATAATGACACAGTGTGATCCCTCCACAAGCCATCCGACAAAAGCCGGGCAGGGGTGGCGGACAAGGAACAAAAGATCACCTCAGTTCGCGCAGACAAATTGCGGGGAAACTCCGCCAGCCCTGACAGAATTGGAGACGTACCGTCACGTAAGGAGTACCTTATCGCAAATTCTCAGATGCCCGTCGAGGTCTTTTGGCTCGTAGTTCGTACCGGCCAGCGGACTTCTTTCTTACCAGGTACGGAGAACCTCGGGATACCTTAGGTAAGGTAGGTATCCGTAGGACCGTAGGCAATGGAAATTCTATGGACTCCAATGGCACCGGGCGCCACTGGCGCTAGTCAACTTCCACCTACCTTACAAGTACACATTTACCGCGATTACTCAGGTCGTCATCCATTCTTGACTCCAACGTACGCAGTACAGTGAACCAAGACCAGCCAAGCAACCCCCGATTAGCTAGTCGGCTTCGCTTGCCAACTTCTGAATTCCTAGCAAGCTCCAACAACTGAAGGTGCAACCCCAGACTTCAATGCTTGCTGCTTCCAGCCGCGGCCCCGGCTCCAGTCTTTAGACTCTGTCCACTCAGACAAGACCCGCCCTCCGCGGACCTCAGGCGCCCAAGACGACGACGACGACGACGCCGCCCTCGCAACCTCACCCCATGACCATGCCGGCGTGCGGCACAGCTTTTCCCGCACCTCCACCACTTTTTTCGACCTCCAAGGCTCACCGTCGATGTGTCCTAATTTTCTCTGGTGCTTTCCAAGTCATGCTGCTTACTTGCCCCTCGCTCCGAGGTCGGTTATGCACCATACCGGCAATTGTCTTCTTTGCCGGCCCTGCCAGCTGTGGCAGACGCATGCTATCCAAGTGATAGACGGAGAAAGAAAGCCTCACTAACAGCTGATATTATTTCTTCATTCAAGCTCCAATGACAGTTGCCAGCACTAGCATGCAATAGGCTTTTTGTGAGAGAAGGGCTAGCCTAGCCTCGCAGCTTACGACAGACATCACCCCAGTCCCACAGAGCTTCGAGAATGGAGCTCCGTGGGCATCTACTACACATCCCGTGTTTATACGGAGACCCGAGGCGGCACAGCTCGTCCTTCAGCCCATATCTTCGCTAGGGCTGATAAGGCAGCTAGCTCGCTTCAGCTTCCAATGGCAAGCAGGTCTGTCCAAAGCAGCAATCAAAGTCAACTTTTCCTGGTGGAAATGAAAGAGCACCGGCAGCAAGACTTTTGAGACAATGAGGGATGCTTGTCTCATCTGCACCGGCAAGCCACGAGCACCACATTCCAAGTCATCTTACATGCAGATGCAGGCGAATCAGCTATGCGCCAGCCTACATACACGCACGAAAGCAAAGGCCCGCACAGTCTCATGGAACCAACCTACTCCTGCCCTACGAGATATCGCTCGAGCGCATTGACAGGCTTTGAGAGAGGGAGAAATAAGGATGGCAAACGGTCCCAAGTCGACCATCTGGAAGGTTTCCCAGGCATTCATATATGTAGTCACACCTAGGCAACAAACAGGACGTCCGAGAGTCTGGTATTTCTGACGGCTGTTTGTATTCGCCTTCGCGTTGTTCTACCACCGGTACTGTAAGTTGACAGCCCTGGTATGGTAGGTCTCATGGCAGGCCGTTCCCTCATGCATGGGCAAAGCCACTTATACGTCGCCGGACGCCACGGCGTTGAGTCTGGAATCTTTTTTGGTAATTTGTAGTCGAGCAAATCCTGCCGACGTGTAGTTTTTGCTTCGATAACCTCCTCATCCACTTGATGCTGCAATCTTGAACGAGCTCTTGTGGTACACAACTCAAGCACCTGGTCTGAGAATGTAAACACCCTTGGCCTAGATCCGAAGAAGAATGATCACTGCGCCTCAAGAACACTCGACTTATCACACTTCTCACGTTGCCCATTCAATGCTGCTGCGGCGAGTGAGGAACAGAATCACATCAAGCCTCTCATCCGGCCTCTCTACACAGAGCATGGCCTTTTGAGCCTTCGACGCTTATCCTAGCTCCTTGAAGCAGTCCTTTTGCATAGAAAGCCAAAGCCTCAAGGCTTCGTCGGCGACGCTTTCAAGAGCTTGCTTGGCATTTTCTTCCAGTTCCACAGGCAGGACAACAAACTGTGGCTGGCAAGGGTAAATCCAGATGTTCAGTACACCTGCCTGTGACACGGTGACTTTCCCTCTCTGTCTATGAACGTGCATCGTCTAAGCCTCCGAATAATGCAAGTACTCGGCTTACTGTCAGCGGCAACCTCATCCCGCGAGTCCATAAGGAAGAGGACCGACCCTCCCGCAACGCAACATGTGGCTGTAGTTTCGTGTCAGGGTATAGCACCTCACTGCAGGCTCCTTGAGTGCTCAATTACAAGACCAGCAGGCATGGAATCAATGGATAGCAATGTAGCGTAAAATTCAAGTAGGAATGGTCCACTCGAGCGGATTACCGTCGTCTGCCGTGACCAACACTCGGGAGCGTCCGAGAAGACACAACACCTGTCTAATACGAGAGCACCACACAAGCACTCCGTACAAAGTGCCCACTTGTAGTCGTATACGAGGCAATCTTGCCACGCCCCTTATACATCATTAGAGAACCGGGGCAGATACGGAGTGAATATGTGTGATCTGACGGTTGGTTCCCGCCAACGCCCGCTGAGGTGTGGGTTCGATGATGACCTGATCCCCCAGATCCGCCTGCGATGATCGACGGCAGTGCGGCAACTTCCCGAACCCGGACACCGTGGTCCGGCGAAGAAAAGCTTTACACGACACCAACACCAACACCAACACCAGCAGCAACAGGCGAGCTGCGAGCTCTTTAGACCTCCTTTAGTTTTTTTCCTTTCACTAGTTTTTTTTCTTATCAGTCTTTCACAAAATTGAGTCCCATGTCAAGCCGGGACTTGTCTCTGAATATTAATATTCAAGTAGCAAAATACGTCGTGTGCTTGTGGAGTGGGAAGCGTTTCTGATATGGTATCATCGAGGTTCATATCAACCATTATCGCCCTGGCTCTGGTTCAAACTGACTAGACCATGATTCAAACCCCCATCCCCGCAAAAAAGCTGGACATGATCCTCGTTAGCTCAACGTCGCCCTCAACGGTCGCCCTGGTGACGGCCTGTCCCACCGGATCATGAAAGAATGGTTTGGCAGACGTATTCATACTCCAACTTCGATGCTCCCGCATTATACCCTTAGAATCTAACCACATCTCTGGTTTTCCAAAGCGTACCCACTCTGCCACACTGTTGGGGCTTTCTTAGAGCTGTGCCCGGCGAACGAAAGCGCCGTAGTGGACGTGAATCACTCAGAAATAGGGCCTCATAAGTTGGGTATAGGAAATTTGGATGATGTTTATAGTAAGGGGGCGCAAGTTGGAGCAGATCTAGTTTTGTCAAACCTCTATACCCTATACAAAAGCCTCCGACAGAGGCCTATTTGTATCTAGTCTCCACGAAAGAGAAAGTGGAGAACTGGAAGTTGATGATGAACTCTGTATATGAGTGGCACTTACTCCTGTTTGAGGAAAAGGCCTGGGATAGGGAGTGAAGGGAATGGTTATGATCCTCTATCGAAAGCCCGAACTCCCCTTCTGACCAACGCATATGTCAACCAGTTCAACGCCTTTTTTTTGAGCACTGTAGACCCAAGAATCGATATGAGTCCTTTCACAGTGGGGTACCTTGCGAAGCTGGATGGTGTGGATCAATCATTGAGAATCTTCATAGACTACTCGTCGTCCAATTTATTTACCCATACGAACATAACCCAAAGAGCCCACGATGAAGTAAACCATGAGCCAAGCCCCGCGCACATTGCCCATGACGTCCATGCACAAATAGATGGAACAAGACACTAACGAACAGAGCACGGGAGCGCATGGTAAGGCGTGGCGAGGGAAACGAAAAGGCCCTAAGATAAACTGCATGTTCTGAAGTTGACAATCTAGTATCAGTATTCGCTTTGAGAAGCCTATTGCTTTCGAAGAAATTCAAATGTCCATAGATTCATATAACCAATCAGGCAAGTGGCTTTATGATTGTCCGCTTCACTATCGTTTCTTTCGTTATCTTGAGTGGTGTTGGCGAAGGAGCAAGTCACCGAAACCAGTGAGCAAAGACTGTAGCGAGTAACTTCATGAATTGTAACGAGTCTTGAGGAAACAGGTCCTATTCCCTGGACATTCCCAAACGCCGGCGCTGAATATGCTCAATCGTGCTCCCCAACTAACGCTTGCAACACCCATCTGACACACCATCTCCAACAGCTACTTATTCTCATCCGTATTCATACAAACGTTTCAATGTCCAATACCGCCAGCGACCCAGTTGTTCCAATCCGGGTTGCCAGGTGGAGGGAAAAGACCCTGGTCTTGCTGTTGAGCCGCGGCAGGTTGACCCTGCTGCCCCTGCTGTTGAAGTCTCTGCGCCTCCTCCTCCCGTCGATGCTGCTGCTGCCTCTGCTGCCTGTAGTAGAGAAGGAGCACCAGGGACAGAGCAAGGAAGACGATGATGAGGCTCTCGGCGATGCCGTCGTCCTCCAGTGGCACGCCGTCTGGGCCCGTCCCGCCGATGGTGTCATCGAATATGTCTTCGTAGTACGGGTCGTCATAGAACAATTGGTCGTCTTGCAGGAAGTTGGCAATCCACTCGCTGAGCGACCAGTCCTTCTTTGGTTCTAATGTGCCTGGTCAGCTGATTTGTATCTCAGGGAATGCTCCGTGTTAACTTACTAGGATCGTCTTGAATGGAGTGAATCGGGCCGTGAGTGAACGTGTTCCATGCGCTTCGGAGGCGCAGCTTCAGTAAGCTCAAGGTGACGGGGAGGTAAGCCTCTTCATTGACCTCGAGTGCTTGGTCGTAGTATCTCTTGGCCAAGTGGAAGTCTTGGGTCAGACCAATGCCATTTTCGTGCATCCAACCGAGGTTCCAGAGGGCCTGGGCACTCTGCGAGTAATCCGAGGCGCCCGTATAACACTGAACGGCCTTGTTTACGTCCGGCTCGGAACCAATTCCGTGGAAGTAGTAGTCGCCCATCTTGACCTGAGAGTCCACGTTTGACTGCCTAGATGACCTCGTCCAGTACATGAGGGCGAGTCTAGGGTTGTTGAGTAGGTTAGGGCGGGTGTGTTGCTGAAGACCGAACCACTCAGGAAGCGGCAGCCAGTCGGGCAGTGGAAGTCGCGACTGGACAGGGTCAAGAATAAAAGCGACGTTGTTTTGCGCGCGCTCATAGCCTTGCTCTGCTGCCATGACGTATTCCAAGAAAGCGAGCTCCTCATCGCCGTAGTAGTAGGCTTGGTTCGCCTCGGCCCACGAGGAAACAAGCGGCTCGGCCTTTTCGGCAACGTTTTTGTAGTAGCCCAAAGCCATCGCGCACGTCTTGTCGCGGCCTACGCCGTTGTATACCATCTCTGCGAGATAGTAGTGAGCCTCAATCTGGCCGTATCTGGCGGCAAGCTCGAAGTAGTTATTTGCAATACGGACGTCCTCTGCCCCACCCTGGTCCAGGTAGAGCACGCCCAATTCGATCTGAGATGGAGCGTAGTCCTGTTCCGCCGCTGCCTTAAAGAGATCGGTGGCCATGGCAACATTCTTTGGCGTCCCGTACCCGTAAAGCATCATGAGACCGAGGCCATGCTGGGATTGGGCATCCCCGTGAGAGATGCCGCGCTCGAACCATCTTTTTGCTTGATCAAAGCTCTGGTCGACACCATCACCACGCAGGTACATGCGGCCAATGAAGCCAGCCGCCTTGCTCGCCGTCTTCTCAATACCCTGCTTATGGTTTTCGATGATACGGCCGTCCTTACGCCAGTACCGTTTCGCCACAGTGAAGAAGTACTTGCGAGCAAGGTCCAGGTCCCGGTCGAGACCCCTCTGCCCCTCGTAGTAGATTCTTCCCAGGTTATAAGATGCCTTTGCGTCGCCCTTTTGCGACATGAGATCGAGGTACTCAATCACATCGTCAATGGCGGCGTTTGCGTCGGAGTTGGGGCTTACTTTGATAGCGTTCATACCGGCACTCGACGCGCTAGCACCCTCACCGTAGACTCCGCCAAGCTCATCAGCGATACGGTACGACTCGACCACCCAAGCCATTCCACCGGGTGGGCCCGAACGATACCAGTCCATTGCCTTGTCCGCAACTCTCTTGTAGTACTTGCTCGCAGCTTCGCAATTCTTCGGCGTCGCAATGCCGCTGTGATGACGGTAGCCAACGGCCATTTCCGCGCGCGTGTCGCCTTGCATCGCTGCGAAAGTGTAGTAGAGTAGCGCCTTTGCCTGGTCGGGAGCAACAACATGGCCAATGCCAGTTGCATAGTAAAGGCCAATCATGTACTGTGCCGTGCGGTTTCCGTGGACCGTCGCGAGGGTATGGTAATGATCGAAAGCGACCTTGAGGTCTCTCGGGTAGGTGTAGTTGCCATAGAAGTTCATCTCCGCGAGAAGGTACAGCGCGTCCGTGTTATTTTGCAAAGCAGACTGTTCTAGCAGCTTCACAGCCTCCAACAGCGGACCTGTAACCTTGGTCTCCTGTGTCTGGTGGCTACCAGGAACAGGCGTAGCCTTCAGGCTGGGCACGACTTTGAGGGCATATCGGAGCACGGTATAGACAACAGTATAGCGGCGTTCACGTCTCGGGTAGGTTCGGGGTGGAAGCTTAATCAGTTGTTCGATGGCGAGTTCGACCAAGTCCGCTCCTATTGAAAATCAGCTCTGTTAGCCATGATTCCCCCCCCCACCATCACAAATAGTGTGCATACCGGGCTGCCTCGGAGGTGGGGTGTGGTGTTCCGGGATAACATCCGTTTGTATTTTCGCATGCTTCCCTTCGTCGCTGTCGTGACTCTTTTCGTAATCGTTCAAGACCTTTTGCTCGTCGACACAGAATACAGTGGCTGCCTGCAACAGCACTTGAGGATATGTCAGCTCCCGTTCAGCCGTTTGGATGTAGTGACTTTCGACTTACGGCCTAGCCAGAGCAAAGAACGCCTCATCTCGAACGGTAATTATGTGCCAAATTCGAGCGCACAGTTCCGCGACATGTTATATCTCGCAGATATGCGGTGTCGGGAGAGGGTTTGTTGGTATTCCTAGCAGTTGCGCAGCTCGATGCTTTCAGAACAGCTGTCCTGGCTTTAGGTCCACGTAGATGGAATTGGGAGCTCCGAATGAACAGGGATAGTCCACTAAATGAGACTTGATTGGTCACTAACTTAGCCGGACGCCAGGTACGCAATACCACCGCAAAGGGGCGCTAGTCTCAAGTGCTGTATACTTGTATAAAGCGGGGTTTTGCATAAAAACGCTTCTCTATCGACCAGTCCTCCACTGCGCTCACTGGCGGCTCTTGCTCAAGTTTCTACGAATTTTGTAATCTGCAAAATTTCGGTCTCAGCCGGGTAGAAGTGAGAAGACGAGCAGGAATCTTCAAATTTGTCAAGGCCATAGAAGAGAGGAGAAATTTTTGAGCTGTCTAAGTTGTGTATCATCAACGCTCAGTAAGTAGTTGCAAATCTCAAATTTTGGTCAAGGGTCCATGCTCATATAAGCCATGCACGACAGTTCAACGTGCTGTGAAGATGTACAATCTGTCTTGCGTTGACGGCCATAGATTTGGCGATGTCTATGTTCTTGACATCCAGCGCCTCAACGCTGGACTGTCTGCCATCTCATCAGATCAGAAACTCGGTCTCTTCGATCCTGCACGAGTGGGACAGGGCCCGATCAAGTCATACCAGACCAACCATGGCAACTTGACATGCCTCAGGACCTTTGACTGGCAAAACTCTGTTGTCTGCACGGCGGGAGAAAATGGGGAAGTCTCAGTCTGGGATATGAGGGAAGCGTCAAAGCCGCAGGTCGCCCATTTTGCGGGTATGTTTCTCATTCTGAGAGGGAGCGAAATACCCAACGAGTTCCACTAACACAATGTTCAGCTACTCAGTCACCCATTCTGTCTATGGCTTGCGACCCTGGAAGCAACACAATAGCACTGGGCACGGAGTTCCAAAACCACTCTGCATCCGTTCTTCTCTGGTAAGCCTTCCTTGGATCATGACTACCCACCACCGCCTGATTACACTGGACTCCTGACACATCCATAGGGACATCAGAGCCGGCCCGAAGCAGAAGCTCCAGTACGATGAAGTTCACAGCGACGACGTTACAGAACTCCGCTTCCACCCTTCGGAATCGCACATCCTCCTTTCAGGATCAACCGATGGCCTCGTCAACGTCTATGACACACGAATTTCGGACGAAGATGAGGTCGTCGTCCAGACGTTGAACCAGGGCTCTGTTCACCACGCCTCGTTCCTCAGCAACACCGAGGTCTACGTGCTGACCCACGACGAGAAGCTGGCCGTTTACAGCGTCGCTGAGGATTGCGGCTCTGGCGCGGCTCTGGTTGATTTTGGCGACGCTAGAGAGACACTGGGCTGCCAGTACATTGCCAACATGACAACTAAGGTTGATGGAAGCGGTGCCATCGTCGGTGCCGGCTCACAAGAGTAAGTTTTGTTCTTGCGAATTGTTAGGAGCGTAATTAACAAGTGAAATAGCCGCCAAGTGTTTGAGTTGGTGCACCTCTCCCGTACGGCCGAAGGCAGCTGGGGATTCGACAGGGCGAACAGCGTCGGTCTGCCGGGAGGCCACGGCGAAGAGATTGTTCGCTCGTTCTGCTTCTACGACGACGAACAGGTTGTTTTCACTGCTGGAGAAGACGGCAACATCAAGGCTTGGAGACCTACGTGAGTCAGAGAATAGAAGAAAGCAAATGTAAAAAAAAAAGAACTCGAGAACGAAAATGAATTGTTCCACAGCTATGCTGCTCATCGCGTCTGGGTATCATCGTCTTCCCCCCCCTTTCTTGTTGCCAAAGAATGACATCTCCTGAATTAGCCGTACTTGTCATGCTTTCCCTTGACCTTCAACATCAATAGCTGCTCGTGGTAGTCGCCTTCCCTTCTTGCTCTCTTTAACTTCCTGACTTCATCGTCCTCGAGCCTACGCCCCACAGCTTGTTCGAGCTCCTTGCGACTGATCTTTTCCTTTGCCTTTTCTTCTTTGTTCGCCTTCAGCCGCGGCTTGAATCTCGCCTGCATCCTGATGCGCCATGTGGAATTGAATGTGATGGATTCTTCGTCGCCTCTGACGTCCGAGGTGGTAACATTGGGTTTCGGTGGCTTGACGGAGAGGAAGGTATAGCGTAGTGTCTGGACTTGGAATGTGCCAGGGGTATCCGCCGTTGCAATGATGTTGAAAGATTCTAACGGCGAGACCGCCGCCGATGTTGCTGATAGTACGCCATTCTTGTCGCATCCAAGATATCTGCGGCATGTTAGCACATGGCTCTCGTCAACAACATTTCGCGGGTTGTTCTTACTGTCCGTGATGGCCCTTGAATCTGAACTGCTCCGTCCCTGTGATCCTATTCGCAACCCACACCTGCCGCACGTCGTGTGGCTCAGCCGTAGACGGGTTGCCATCGACGATATTCTCGATCCCCAGTGTGAATATCTTACCTACGGCATCGCACGCCAGGGCAGTAGGGGGTTCCGTCGGCAAGACGAACATGATGGGCCCGACAACATCCGTCACGGCATCAGCAGACACCCAGCTATCGTCGTCATCATCCACATTTGCCGTCGATGCGGAAGCTCCGCCGGTACGGGTGATCTCCCCGCCCTGCGCGTCGCGGTCCTGGGCCTCGGCTTCCGCGCGCTTTCTCTTCTTGGGCTTCTTGTCGCCCTTGAAGGACAGGGGTTTGACCATCGCGTTGTAGCGGCCGTGTTTCGTGTCCTCTCGTTCCCGGGACTCAATGGGGAAGGTGAAGTTGCGTTATCTTTGTCGCGGTTCTCGGCGATAACCGGTAGGTTTTCTTTTGACCTATGTTTGGTGCGTGCTTGACCTTTGGAGATCTTGGAATGGTGATGAGTAGAGTTCGAGAGACGTTTGGACGTTTTGATTACATAAGGAGCTATCTGTGCCCCTCCCCCACCTTTTAGGTACCGACCCGGCAGGTGGTATCGCGGAAGCTTGTCGATGAGCCTACGATCTGACCGGATTCCTTTTCGTTTCATTCGTTACTACCTTTCTAAACTTCTACAACCCAGATGAACACCATGGTTCAGATCGCACAACCGGTGGTTGTGTCTCTTAACGACCTGAAGGAGGGTGAGTACCGGGGAGCAGGATCGTAGGATGGAACGGATAACAGCTTACATGTGAAATTCACATCATAGGCAACATCCCCTTCGGGACTCTGAAAGAAGCCTTTGGGCCCGAATCTCTGGGTATCCTGGTGGTCAAGGATGTGCCGCCAGAGTTCACTCACTTGAGGCACCAGACCTTATCTTACGCATCTTACTTGGGCAATCTCCCCGAAGAAGAGCTGGGTACGATGCAAATTGCTGCCCGTCTGCCCACCACTGCTTACACATGAGCAGTCAAGCTTGAGAATGAACAGGCCAAATACCTGACGGGCTGGTCCCTGGGTAAAGAAACACTCAAGAATGGCCAAGTTGACACATTTAAGGGTTCATACTATGCCAACTGCGCATTCTACGTTGATGCAACTCTCGACTGTGCTAAACCGACAGCCGACTTTAACCAGAACAACTTTCCCGAGTACCTCTCGCCTAATATTTGGCCTTCACGAGACGTCCTTCCGGGGTTCAAGCCAAGTGTGGAGAGTCTTTGCCGAGTCATCATTGATGCGGCCGTGTTAGTAGCTCGAGCATGTGACAGATTTGCCGAGTCCGAGATCCCAGGATATGCCAAAGGATACCTTGAACACGTCGTCAGTACATCGAACACGACCAAAGCGCGCCTCCTGCACTACTATCCACAGACGAAAGAAGCCCTTTCCAAGATTGGTGCAGCCGACGATGACTGGTGAGCCGTTGGAATGATACCGCCTTCAGAAAATCACTAACAGATACAAGGTGCTCGAGACACAAAGATCACGGGTAGGTGCCCCACGCACAGCATTGAAGGTGCTACTGCTCACACACTCGGTAGATGTCTGACTGGCCTGACGTCTGCCATGTTCATCGACGAGAAGGAAACTTCTACTGCAGTACCTGAAGCCACGAATAATACTTCAGCAAGCCTTCCACCTCTGACAGAACTGGCCGCGTCTCCTGATCCATCGGCAGGGCTGTACATCGAATCGCGGAGTGGGGAGACGGTTCAGGTCAAGATACCGCGAGACTGCATCGCTTTTCAGACCGGCGAGGCTCTAGAGCGCATCACGGGTGGCAAATTCAAGGCAGTACCGCACTTCGTAAGGGGAGTCAGGGCAGCGGTGAGCGACGGGCGCGTTGCGCGTAACACGTTGGCCGTCTTCACTCAACCGAACCTCGGCGAGGAGGTGGACAGTGAGCAACACATAACGTTTGGCGAGTTTGCGCGGGGCATCGTGGCCAAGAATACTGTATCATAAGAGTGTTGTCGTTACGTTCCGTTGATGAGAGTGTATACAAAGCGTGTCAAAGGTCAAAGTCGGCGTGTTGATTGCTCTGGTTTATGTGACTAGTAGTCAAGTGAAGCCGACCCCGAAGTTGAATTCGTCAAGATGGTTCGGGACCACACGGTGGGGCCCCCGACAGCAGGGGCCCGGCCGGTAGTCCCGGAGCTCGGTACGTGGTGTTATAGGGGCCCAGGCCGCCAGTGTATACTCCGAATGGCAGTTCGGAGCCGTAGCTGAATATTCCAAATACTCCTTTTGGAGACTTGAGAGAACTAGCCAAGCCGAGGCCTAGAGGCGCAGAAAGATAGCGCATGGAATCTCTAGAATTGCGTGATGCTAATGGTAAGTTTCAAAGTTGCTCAGTCAGCAAAGCTTTCGTGCGCTTGCATCATGATTGCAAAACCTCACCTGGCAGCTAATCTGTGGACAAGCAGCTCTATCAACACCCGGAAGCTACCCCGCCCCCGCCGCCTGCTCCAATGGGCGCCTTTCGTCACCACTCTCTCAGGTAAGGTATCCGTA